GAACCCCCCCATGCACACCTGTGCACACTCGTCCATGGGTGCTTGGGGTTTTTTTTAAGAGCTTTTGCTGAGGTACCTTGTTAGAATTTAAAAAAAAAAAAAAAAAAAAAAAAAAGGAAAAATAGAGTTTTACTGTCAAATCTACTGTCTGCCTGCAACGGGGGCTCCGGGAGTGCGGCTTTCTGAGCAGCTTTGCCGAGGAAGTCTGCAGAGCTGTATATCAAATGAAAGTGCACAGACTTCTTTTATTTTTAGGTTCAGAACAAATGGTATTGGAGGAAGGTAAAATCTATTAAGATATTTGAATAAACATTATATATGTTATATTGACTCTATTGATCTATACAAACACATATCGGCAGAGTTCCATGCATCTAATTCTGGTATATTTACACATATATATTAATGACCCATTTTTTGTTATAAAAGCACAGAAACCCCACTGCCAACAACATAATATGTAATACCTACTCCGTAACCTATAATATACTCGTTGATGTGGCCTGGGAGACGAAGTGCTGCGTCTTCTGGAAGTTGAAGAAATGCCACACAATTTTCCTGAGAGTAATTTTCAGAGCCTGGGTATGATATATCAGAGGCACAGGCGGTGACACAAAAAAAAAAAAAAAAAAAAAAAAAAAAAAAAAAAAAAAAAAAAAAAAAAGAAAAGGAAAGAAGAAAGGCTGCCTTTTTAAGCTAGAACGACTCTGACTTTTCACTCGGGCACATCTCTCAGGCGATAAAATAATTTACAGTATGTTTCAATCAGATATTGGAAACGGCGCTTGCTTAAATCGCCTCAGCTTTGCTGGCGTTTTAAACACGCGGTGGTTTAGCACCGTTCCCCAGGTTGGGAGGGTGTGAGTCCTGCCTCCCGCATCGCCCGGTCCATCACGGGCTGGTCTGCACGGCAGCGGTGTGGTCCCCTGCCCACCTAGACCCTCGGCCCCCTGATAAGATGGTGTCACCTGACCTGATTTATCATTTACTGGTCTTGTTTTCTGTGGTGCAAATCCTGCCCCAAGGGTATTTAAAGGTTACTTCTTCTCTGTAGCTGAAAAAGATTGTTGTTAGAATAACGTTCCTATTGGGTGAAACAAATAAAATGTGGACACAAATACAATAGAAACTGAAGCAGAGGCATCAGCTTTTCATATTTATTCCTGTTGCTAGAGCTGGGAGAGAGAACCTAATTAATTTGCTTAGGCTAGAATGCAAATTGGAGAAACCAAATCAGTAAGTAAAGTCTCTGCTCAAGGCCACACAGTCAAAATAAATTCACTGAATGGTATGTTTTCTCCTTAACAAATCTTACAATAAAGACCATGATATGATCCGCACCATGAAGAGCAGCTGCCTGGTTTAAAACAAGCAAGCATCCTTGCTGTTGTTTCTCTTGATAGCTAGGGAGCCTTCATTTTCCATTTTATAATCCTTAAGACATGAATGTACTTAGGCTAAAAATTCATTAAACATTAATATAAAGCCTGTTTTAACTTCTGACTGTTTGCTTCCCAAAGATAATTGTTTAAGAGAATGAGCTGTACTCCCTTTGCGGCTTTTCCATATATTTTTCAAAAACTAATACTAGAATTATGAAAGATAGGAATAAGTACAGCAAAGTAAATTAAATCAAATTGCTAAAGCCTTGGGGAAGAGCTAATGCAAATGAATTAAACACATATAAGTTCCGAATGGCTACAGAGTAAGTTTCCTTCTGAGCATCGTTACTCAGAAGATGCCGAGACACTAGCACCTTCGCTAGCTGTGAAGTCACTATCTTGTAAAAACAAAACCCAGAAAAATAAACCGGTAGCTCTGGCTACTATCATACATTGTAGCTTTTATCATCCCTTTCCTTTTCCATTAAAGTTATTACCTGCAAAAGTGTAACTCTGAAATGAGCAACCAAAGTTAATTTTCTTTTTCTGTCACTGGGTATCATCTGCTCATAGACAGATGGAAATTCTGTATTTTAAAGACTATTTTGACCTTAAAGGCAGGGGAAACTTTCATTTAAAAGCTATTTATAAGGTTAAAGTATATTATAAGTAAATAAACCAGGGGAAGAAGAAAGAGGGGACTGAATACCAATATGTGCTAAAAGTCATTAAAGCAGAGCTGCCATGGAGAGGTGAACAGAGAATTACCGTTCACTGAATATGGTGCATCAAGTGGAAGCAGCAAAACAAACAAGAGAACATTGTTACGACTTGTAGACGAGTTTTGGATGTTCAGACATTAAATGGGCTTATAAGTAATGGGAGAAAATGATAGCAAAATCATACGTAAAAGGCTGTTTAACACATCACACGCAGCTTTCGGGAAGTTCCTGTCCCAAAGCTCTCCAGTGCCCTCTCTGCTCTCCCTCTCCACCGGACACTCAGGGCCGGTGGAGGATGCTGGGCCAGGAAGGTCTTCAGTCAGATGCTGTTTGAGCATCCTTATGTTGTGTTATTTTATAGGCTAATCTGTGTCCAGCTCAAAGTTGGTGATAATTTTACCTGGATTTGAAAGTGTATTATGGTGCTGACTGCGAGGGTAAAGGCAATAGGGCTGAAGAGGTTATGGATATGGAATTATTACAGCTGAAATGGAAAGAAAACCAGGGGAGCTTATTTCTCAGGGTGGAGAAATGACTGGATGATAGTAAATATTAGTATATTTGATTAGTAACTTATCTGATATTCATTATATATCATGATTTAGAAGGTACTTGGAAAGTACAAACAATTGTAAGACAGGGTGGTTAGAGGAAAACATGAGAATCTGTGAAAGGCAGATCAGGCTTGACTAGCTAAATAGCTCTTTCTTAGAAGAAAGCTGAGATCTGGCACATTTTCTTTCCCAAGAATAACTCTTATCTTTAAGCCAACAATTCCCTGTAAAGCTACTGCCTTGGGAAACTATTAGTGGAGTAGAAGAAGGTGGAGAAATTGTACAGTCAGGGCAGATGAAGACACTATTGGGTTGTGTTGAAAGGGAAAACATCAGGCTGGAGAGAGAGACTAGTGGAATTTCTTACAAATTTATCTTCTTTCGTATTTTTTATTCTGTACCTGGACACAAAGAATAGTCATGCTGTGATGAAATTTTCTGGTGACACAAAATTGGGGGATATTATCAATGGAAAGAAGGTTTGCGGTATTGAGGATTTAGGATTTCTGGTCTTTTATTTGCAGTTACGTGTGGCTGTACTGCAGTCCATGTACCAGTACCATATACAAAGCCATATGATATTTAATCTACGAAGAGGAAAGGTCAGGCTGGGATCAATGGGGTTTTGAATCGGTAGTTTCCACATCATCTCTTCTTCATCAGTCATTTTTGGGGGAATCTCAGTCAGGGGCAATTGTCCTCAGAGTTAATATCTGCCATTTCATCACCCTGTGCCACTGAGCCCTGTATCCCACCTCTGATGCCATTCACCACTTCTCCCCCTCTGCTCACCTTACTGCCAAATTGTGGTAGTCCTCTCCCAGTAATTCCAAACTTGGATCATGATAGAAGTCAAATGAGCAACAATGAGCTACAAAAACAATAGCTGAATGTCATGAGCTCTAAACAATGTTGTCTTAATAAGACAGTCTCCAAAATTTATCTTAATTTCAAGTTCTCTGTGTTTAGCTGGATTCTTGTCTAAGCAAGAGATGGTGAGCAGCAGTACATGTGCAAGTATGGTTCCTAATTTACAGGAGCTGAGGGAATCTGTTTACAGCTTCCATTATGTAGGGAATTAAAAAGTCTGAAGGTTATTGGTATCTGTTACAGAGATACCAACCAATGAAGAACCTGAGGACAAGATGCTCTTGGAGAGATAATGGTAAAAGAGAGCTCCTTCTGAAAGGAGCACGGTGTGGACTCTGTGAAGATGGTTCTCTTGCAGAGCTCGTCAGGGATTTTATGTTTTTATGTTACATGTCTGTAAGACAGCTCTTCTAATATGGATGCAAAGATCTCATGTATCTTACTGGCACAGGAGGCTTTCAGGATTCTTCTTTCTCATGGGCTAAAAAATGAGCTGTGGTTTTTAAAGAGCCAGAATGTCTTGTCACTCGCTGTTTTGCATCCAGTTGCAAACACATACGTGTTTTTCATGTACGTTACCTGGTCTAAATAGCTGTGCTGACAAGAGCTGAGTGCCAACATTATTCTGTCCAGGTTGCCCTTGTTCTTCTGCAATGATTAAGTTATCAAAAGGCAAATGGGAGGGTGAAGTTAGGTTTTTGCATACACTGTATGTTGGCTATATTTTATTTATTTTGTATTTTGCTGGGATCAAAAGTTTGTCAGAGTTTGTAGCTGCAAATCTAAATTATTTAAAATGCAGTTTAATTCAAGTTATGGGAAAATGGCCCATTCTGTGCTTACTGGAATATCAAAACTACCACCTGAGTGGACAGAAAAGAGTAACATAATATTATATATCTGTTGAAGCCTGAAGGCAGCTGTGAGGATGGGGTGTGGAGGGGTGTCTGTACTGCTGCATGGATCCGTCTTCTGCCACTGCAAAGTTAGGTCCCCCACTGAACACAGAATCGCTGCCTCAGCTCTGTGCCAGGGTCATTGTTGCCTTGTGCATTTTATCTAAACCGAGTCAAAGCTTTTATCTCTTTTTCTCCTCCTTCTGCTTCCAGAAAGTCCCGTGTGTCGGGGTCTGTGGTTCCTCTGTGAGGCCTGGGAGGGTTGAGCCCCCCGGGCTGCACAGACGCGGGACCTCTCGCTGCATCTCGAGTGATAACGTCGGTGAAGCAGCACAGTGTTTTTGAGTACTCAGCAGAAAACGTCAATAAGCAGAATGCAATGCTTTGGATATGTACATTTCTGTTACTAGCTGATCAGTATCTGTTGAGGTTGTATACTTACCATTATTGAGTTTCCCTCTCGTGGATGCTGGGTTATGCTGTGGTGCTTTAGCCTTTCAGCAGTGGCTGATTACCTCTGTTTTCTCACACTAATTTGCTTATGAATATCCTGCTCTCCCTTCTTGTCTCCTGCAGACCCCCCTGCTGTGGAGCCCACCTTCCTGGAGATTCGGCAAGGCCAAGGCCGGAGCATCACCATGAGCTGCCGGGTGCTGAGGGCATATCCCACCCGGGTCCTCACCTACGAGTGGCGCCTGGGCAGCAAGCTGCTGCGCACCGGCCAGTTCGACGTGCAGGACTACACCGAGTACACCGTCAGCAGCCTCTCCCGCGACAGCTACGGCATCTACAACTGCAACATCATCAACGAAGCGGGCGCTGGCCAGTGCAGCTTCCTGGTGACAGGTAGGCTTGGCGGTGTCTTGGTGCGCCGAGATGATGGACTGAGCGTGCTGCAGGTTTGTGTGTTGTTGGGTAACGCTATTCCTGCTTCAACGATTGAATTACCAAAGAGATATATTCCTTGAAGTCGAATCATAGCTTAAGACGTCTGGTTTGGATTCTGGGGAGGCTGGTAACAAAATAGGAGATTTACCTTATTTCAGTGGTTTGAGGATAAAGATTTTTCATGCAAAATGTAAATACGCCTTCTCTGCAGGCATCCGTCTGTATTCTTTTGAGAGAGGCCTGAGAGAGTCATCAGGCAGCAAATTTCTTCCATTTGAAGTTTGCAATAAGGCTTCAATTTCCTCTTCTCTCTTGGTACGCTCAGCGAGCTCGGAAACCGGATCGGGCAGACCACAGTTTCAAGCAACTTCAAGCTACCCAAGTACAGAGGAGTGTTGAAATTTGTTCTTTTTCTCAAAAATCAAAGGACTTTGTGAAGTTAGTACACAAGATCACAGACTCGGGGAGGACGTGCGACCCCTGCCATGATCTACCCATGTTGTGTAATTAATGCACTGGATTGAGACAAACTTTATATGTCTTTTATCTTTAGTATCTTGGATTTGAATGGTAAACTGGGTGTTCAGATATGCAAATCTTGGTTCTTCCTCTATTGGAAAGTAGTTACTATGACTTGAAGGCCCAGCTGCCTGATCCTGCAACATCCCGTGCCTGCGGCAGATGTTGTGCCCCACCTGAGGTCCTCTGGTTGCTGGAGTCACCTCAGCTGTAGGTTCCCCATCCCTCTAGGCTGGTTGTCCAGGCACTTTTTTGAATCACTGGAGGGAAAAAGGCATCTCCATTAAGTGAAGCATCTCCTCCCAAGGTCTGCGGTGGGTCAGGAACCCCCTGTTCCTCTGCACCAGCTGAGAGGGGTGTCCAGCCACCCGCCCTGTGTGGGCTCTCTCCGGAGATCAGCATGAGCAGCCCCAGCCTCCCTAAGGATGTTGGAGCAGTAGCCCTGTTTCTGTTCAAAATCCCTCCCGTCAGCTGCTTGAAAAGGAAAGATGGGAAAAGAAGTGAATAAAGAAGAAATTCAGAACGTGCAGAGGAGATCTATCTTAGAAGGAAAGGTCCCCCATCTTAGTTGGGATTTTATTCTAATTTAACCGACTTGGGTCCAGCTACAATCCAATCTAAATGAGGTTTTGCTTTTGGGGTTGCTGGCAGCATGGCAGCTCCCTGAACCCTACCATTGTTTAGGAAATTGGGCATTATTATCAGCTTTGCTGCTGCCCGCAGACAGGGCATGGATTTAATGGATGAGCTGCAGAGCACCTCTCAGGGACCCTGCTCTGCACAAGTCCTGGATATCAGGGTAGACCCTCCATACACATCTTTCCTGGGAATAAAGGAAACAATTCAATTCAGCTCCCCAGTGTTTTTCAGTGAAATTTGGTTGTACAGGAAAAAAACGTGGGCCTGCTTTTGTGTGGATGCTTTTTTTTTTTTCTCTGTTTTGGATTTTGTTGAATGGCATCTCATTGGCAAGGATTTCATCGGGCCAGCAGTGCATGGCACAAATGTGGTGGGAACACAGTGAGCACCCCAATGACTGATGGCTCTACTTCTTTCAAAATGTAATCAAGCCTTTGGCTGACTTATCATTCAGAGCCTGCTTGGAGGTATTTTCACAGCCACCAACTTCTTCAAATCGTTGGAGTTTAATCCAAAAGGTGGCTGTGAAGGAAACCAGAGAAACAGTCTTTTTCCTCAAATGAGTAAATGCAGTTCAATTTACTATTCATCACGCTTTGGACCCGAGACTGTGGAAACCTATTCTAAGGCAATTATTTTGCCAAGACTGGGGCAATCTGAGTAGCTTTCTGTGATTTATTACCGTGCCAAAGCAAGGCACATAACTGAAAATTAATACCAGAATGGTTTTATGATGTACTGTCTCACATCCCTCTGCGTGCCTTGCTCATTTTTAGTTTATACGATTGCGCGAATTTATGCTGTATGGTTGCGTTAAGGATGCTCAGAGTAACGCTTTGGGTTATGACTTCCGTGCTTTCCTCAGTCTTTTAAGGTTAAAACCAACCTATTTAGTAAACACTTTCCTTGACATGTGGAGTTGAAACTGCTCTCAGGAAAGAGCAGCAGCTGTATTCTGGTCCCAGGTCTCATCAGGACAGATGAAGTTAAAGTGCTGGGGAACAGCAAACGTGTAGAAGAAAAATGACAAAGTGGTTAAAAAGGAGGCTTACATTTCACTGGGAATGAGAACACAGAAAAGAAATGGGTCACTTAGATGCACGCATGGAGAAAAAAGGCAAATAAATAGCCCAGTGGCAGGAATCCGGTGATAGTGGAGAGCTTTTCTTTTGGGTGGAATAATGGGAGTTGTAGCCCATTTTTAGTTGCTTTTATTTCCAGGTTTTCATGTAGTAGCAGTGTGCTGCAATGCTCACACTGCAGGGGCTGCAGAGAAGCATTGGTATGCTAAGAGAAAGGTTTTCAGTACAGTATTAAAAGCAGCCTGGATGAAAAGATTTATACTGGCCCTAGAGTTTGCAAAACCTGTTTTTACTGCATTTGTATTTTGAGCCAGATTTGAGAAGATGCAAGCAAAATAAATCGCATGTGGAAAAGGGGGTTGATTTATATCAGGTGGGCCAATCTGAGGCAGATTTAACCTGCTAACGTCTTAAAAATAAATAAGAACGTACAAGCAAAATTGTATTTGTGGGAAAGCAAAGTTGAGTTCATGCTACTCGCAGCTTCACTATCTATATATTTTATTCAGTGGTTTCTACTGCACATCATATCCAAAGAGCAATAAAAAGTACATTTCAGGCAGTGTGTCATTAAAACCCTGCCAAGGCTGGAAGCAAATAGGAAAAAAAAAAAGATGCGCAAAATGTCATGAATGGCACAGAAGCCTCCATGCAGGTGGAGGAAGGATTTGAATGCTGGAGAAAGAGGCTGGGTAAGCGCAGGGAGCGTCCCCCTCCCCGGAGAGGCTGCTGCCCTCGCGGGGCAGACCCAGAGCCCTCCCTGGGTCGCATCCTGGCTCCTGCCAGCCCAGGCCACCCCAGGGACACCTTTTTCACAGTAACTTGGGTCTCTTCAAGGGAGGGGAGGTTGAACTCTGTATTTTCTAGGTTCCCAGTGTGCAAGAGATTGATCAAGCAGGCACTTGTGTTGCTGTCAGAAGGGCTGGTGCTACAGTGGGGGTTGTTTAGCAATATTCTGTGCACCTGGGGGCTATTTAGGATTCAGATTCCCCGTAATTGACATTACCTGGCAAGTCTCAGCATAACACTTTATCTTCAGTGGCTTATAACTTTGGCAAGCTTTAACCACTTGTGCTGAAATTTGCTGTGCTGGTGGCTGCCTCGGGCTGAATTGTTCACAGAAGTTGCTGTCCAAAGAGGTTTTTTTAAGTAAGGGAAACAATATTTTGTTTCATCCATGTTAAATTCTTGTAGCTGTTCAACCGGTGTGTTTGAAAGGGCCAGATACACATTCTTGCATGATTCCTCGCTTAAGTTGCATTGTGAAATCGGTCTGTCTGTTGTTTATGGTGCTGGCTTGACAATGCTATATGTAATTTGTGAGATACTAATTAAAGTAGTAATCATAACACTGGGTAGTACTAAACAAAGCTACTAATGGCATTATGTTGACGTAGCTACCTTTGTCAACTAACTTCTGATCCCACTGTTGAGCAAAGACAGTTTTGAATATTGATTTTGTGCTGTTCTGTTTTGTGGAACTTTTTCACCATAAAATATTGCATTAATTAATGAGCCAATCTTTAATTATTTACTTATCAAGTCTTGCATCACACTTTCAGTGCTTCTGGCTGAGAGCAACATCAAGCCAATCAGTTTGTAATTACATAGGTTATAATCGTTAGCTACCAGCATGACCGCAGGTTTTCCCTTCTCTGGAGCTTCAGTGGTGTTACTGAACTAAAGACAGAGCAGAGCACACTGTGAGAAAAGCTGGGGGCACGCACGTGCCCGCCCATGTCCCCCGTCTAGCTGGGGGTGTCTGCTCAGTCTGCTTGAGGATCTCCCGTCTCCTGCCTTCCTTTCCCACATGCCTTAGGAAGTTTGAATCTGAAGAGCTGGACACTGAATCATCCCTTCCGTATGATCTCAGCATCCATCCCCGGTAGGAGCTGTGTGATTCCTTGTGTAGCCTTGTGGGAACATCCTCGCTGGAAACTCGTTCAGAAATTTCAGCCTTAGTGTTTCTTCTTTGCCCTTGGCACCATACGTGGTATCGCTGTGGTCTGTGGAGCATCAAGCTGAAGTCATAGCGGAATTACCATCCAGCCTTTTGTGAAAGCTGGGATGCTTTTGCCACAAGGGCATCACCTTAAAATAAATGGCAGACACTTGAAATTGCAGGGTATCGGGTTCTTCTCCATAGCCCTGTTAGCTGAATTAAACAGTGTTCTGCCATTTAAAGTTTTATGGCTTTGTTAATCCTTTTTTATTAGGGAAGACCTTTTGCACTGAACTGAGGGACAGAAGTGTATGTTATTTGTAGCTTCCCATTTTAATTTTTTTCTTAGAAACTCTATGGGATTCATGTAAAGCAACAAGCAAAAATCTTGTTTCAGAAAGCTTGTTTGGAAGCAGATTCCTTGTACTCTTTACCTGCACAGTCCCAAAATATCAGGATTTTGCCAGTGAACTGTTTTCACTCTACAGTGGGTTTTTTGTCAGCATGAAGGCAACTTCCCAAGCAAGTAACTCAGCACAGTTTTTATGAGCTGAACTGTATGTGTGTTGGCTGGAAGGCATGTCTCTAATGTAAGTTCTGTTCCTCACAGCGTGGTTGCACATCATGGAACGATTGACCAGCATCCGAACTGGTGGAGGGACACGCAGGAGCTCTGTGTTGGGTTTCTCTTCACAGATGTGTCAAATTCAGCGGTTTTCCTCTCCATTTTCCAGGAACATGTAGCGGTTAGTGCCAGACACTGGAGTCATTGCGGC